ATTTTTATTTTTTAAGCATTACGCCCCGAGCAAGGCGTGAAGCCACTAGGACGCAGGGGGTTGCAGAAGATTTGGAGCGAGAGCAGATAGGAGTGATAGAAGAAAGGATGAGGAGAGGGATAGTGGATAGATCAAGGCAAGTGGAGATGTCGATTGACATTACATTTGAATTTGTTGGAGATTATAGCTCTCAGGGAAACAGTAATATGGAAGGGTGTCCCACAGGCGAGAGGTGCGAGACATAAAGCTATTGGAGTAGAAGAAACGGCTACATTTAAAGGTTTCTACAGTGAAAGGGTGAGAGCGGGATGCCAGCCTCGTAGGGCGCTTGAATTCACGAAGTCTGGGAACCAGTGAAAGCAGCTATTCGGAGCAATTACCATGAAAGTATTTGTAAAAAAGACAGAGAGAGGCGACGGCGCGTCTGTGAGAGAGTGATTGCAGACGAGATGCCAGATCAGGGCCAATTATATTACATATCCGCCTCTGGATCTTGTCAAGAACTCCAAGGTAAACAGAAGGTGCACCAGACCATATATGGCAGCAATACTCCATGCAAGGGCGAATGGTTGATTTGTATATTTGAAGTATCGATTCCGGGGAGAAAAATTTCCTGGCGCGGCACAGAGAGCCAACTTTTCTTTTCTTTGGACGAAGCAATTGACTCAACGTATTTGTTCCATCTCAGGTCAGCAGTCAACGTGAGACCGAGCAGACGCAGAGAGTTGCTCTCAAGAAGTTGACTATCAGACATTCTAATGGGGGGTAGGGAAGGATCTCTATGGTGATTAATAGAAAGTAGTTTAGTTTTTGAGGCGTTAAAGTTGACCAGCCAATTCTTGCCCCAATTAACAACCGATTGGAGGTCCATTTCAAGACGCACGGCCAGGTTAGTTTTGTCACCGACACTAGATTTGTTTTTGAGGCAGGAGTAAATTGTAGTGTCGTCCGCGTAGATGCCAACTTAGGAATCTATGGCGTCAGGAAGGTCGTTGATGAAAATAAGGAATAGAGTGGGACCAAGGATGGAGCCTTGGGGAACACCTGCGTTCGTGGGATAGGAACTGGAGGAGAATCCGTTGAGAACGACCTTCAATTCACGGTTTGACAGGAATTATTGCATTAGATCAAACAATCGACCTGTAATACCGTAACCCTGGAGCTTGCGAAGAAGGCCGGCATGCCAAACTCTATCAAAAAACTTAACTGTGGATAGCGTAAAGATTATCGACGAGCAATGGATCAAGTTCCGGCCTCGTCTGTTGTATTCGCTTTCGCATTAATGAAAGGCGTAAATTCATCTCACCGCCCAACAGCTGTGAGAGCAGGGTATATTGAGCTCTTTTGCTAAGGTTGCTAGCCAGTTAATGAGAAGACCTTCTCTGAATACAGATATTTCAGAAACTTTATTTTTCTATTTTCTAATGGGGTAATTGGATAGTACTTTTGTATTTTTAACGCAGTTTATAGCTATACTATGACATCGATCGATCGGTTGATCAATCGATTGCGAATCCCATAACCCATCAGAGTCGAAGGGGCACCACATGTATTGCAGCTGCAGTAGAAATTGTGGTTCTTGAGAAATATAGCCTGACGGAGCCCAACCCTCTCCAGGTCGGTTTGAATTCAGAGTTTCCATCTCCTAGACTGGTTGCCAACCAAGGCTATAGAACCCAGTCTGTCTTGCTATTTACCCATAGCTGGGGGGAGAAAAATAGGATTCATACCTTTCCCAAGGGTATTAGTACGTAAATGAATGTAAGGGGTTTTCTCTTTTTACTTTTTCCCTGCCTGTAGTTCTGGTCAAATCTTTCCGTAAAGCTTTCTATTCATCACAGAGTTCAAGTAGCTTATCAGGAATGCGTGCTTTTTGCCCAAAAATGGAATCTTCATGAATGACTTTCCAGGCGTCAATTTCAAAATTTCAGGGTTGATGAGGGTCGCCTTGAGCTAAAATTTTGCGTAGAATGTTTTTCTATTAATTGGAATATGATATAGGGTTAGGAGCTAAACTTTTAGAAAATTTAAAAATAAAGGCCACTTTAATACACACACACACACACACACACACACACACACACACATAGCGATTTGCCAAAAAACAACATAGTTTACAAATTCAAGTATCTCCAACGAATTAAATAATATTAATGTTGGTCACACCACAAACTCGCTTTCACGACGCTTGACACTACATTTGAATGATAACTCTAACATTTTTAGGCATTTAAAACAACATGCCTGGCCGCGTACACAATGACGGAAAATCCTTGTTGAAAACACAACTATACTTAAACATGAAAACAATAAACAAAAACTAAAAATTCTTGAAGCTATATACATAAAACAGTTGAAACCTAACCTGAACAAAATAAACTATGAAATCTCCACAAATATTCTTAAATGCCTATAATTGGAAACAGAAGCTATTGGTTTATACCAACGGCTTCACATACTTAATACTTCTCGTTTTCACTCTCACGTGGTCATGCGTGACGTCATGGGCTGCGATGCGATTTTCGCTTCCAGCGTCTTGTATGCACGAGTTTGTCGTTGCTTGGAAATCTTCCATGTAAACAGAAACAGACTATCATCACTGTCTTGTCCGTGTATTGCTTAGTATATTGTAATGTAAATGTCATCTTTGATAATGGCTTACGTAAGCTTAGATTGGATTAAAAAATATGTATCAATATTGTGATTTTCTTTCTTCGCTTAATGATAATTTTATTAAGCTTATCAGACGATATGAAAAAAATTTACATAAAATAAATAGACAAAACTTGTCTATATTATTTAATGAAACACGCATCAATATATATATATATGTATAATCAAACAAATCCCTTTACCTCATATGGGGAGTAGTCTATTTCGGCAGATGACGGAAACGGTCGTCTGCCTTTTCAAACCCGGTGGGTTTGAATTTTGCTAACCGGAAAGTTCTTTGTATCTGAATGATTAACAGCACGTCAGACTAAATGACGGCTTCTGTATGGGATACAGGTTCGATTCCAGTCGGAGAACGCATATTTAGGTAATAATTAATACCAGATGCTTGCATAGAGCATGAAATTCCGAGTTGTACTGTCGGCCTGGGGCATTATGTATATCTATAATATATATATATATATATATATATATATATATATATATATATGTGTGTGTGTGTGTGTGTGTGTGTGTGTGTGTGTGTGTGTTATGGTCGGTTCCTTGTACCACGGTGATAGTCCAATAAAGAAGAACTCGAACACAGGTATGGAATAACACAGATATATTACAAACAGGAATATATACAGAGAAGTAGAAGTGTTAGTACGAACAATCAGGTTTAGTAGAGAGAACAATGTAGTCTCGACCAGTATCAAAATTCCAATGTCTTGCAGTAATTGTCTGAACGCGACTCTGTTTCGGACTGCCTCTGACTCGACTCTTGACTCTTGACTCGACTGACTGACTCGCTCGCTCTGACTGACTGACTCCTGACGGACTTCACTCCAGACTTCAGTCTGAACAGTATTTAGTCACACCACCACGAGGGTATCATGTGGCACAAGGCCGGTTTAACGTGGGATCTCCGAGCCCGTAGGCTCGGCCAAAAATATGCCCTTTGAAACCAGGTTCAGGGTCGGTTTACGGGTTAGACGGGTTCAGGGTCGGTTTACCTCCCCGAAAGAGACTCCGCCCTTCGGCGTAGCCTCGTTCGGGTTCCTCCCCGTCCGAAGGCAGAGAGTTCAACCGATCAGCCGATCAGCCGGTCGCCTGATTTCAGACTGAACTCCCTGCTTCCTCTTGAGGCGCAGTATTTATTACGTATGGAATAGTCCATTATGTTATTATGGGTAAGGTCCCATAACAGTGTGTTAGGGACAAAAATATATATATATATGTGTGTGTGTGTGTGTGTGTGTGTATAATTCCAGGATCATTTTCTAGCTTATTCCAGATGATCTTCGCCCTATCTAATCTTCTAATTTTATGTCCTGTAGTAACAGGGTGCCTCATAGGTTTCACGTACGATTTCATTTTCAATCTTTTTTCACTGCTCCTTGGACTGTCATAGCTGAAACTCCTCTCTCGTTTGCCAAACGTCTTATGCATTGAGTTGGATCTTTTCTAATTGATCTCTTTAGCTCTAATTTGAAATGATGATCCCTCTTCCTGTTGTGACTTCCTGATCCAGTTTTCCTCACTACTCTTCCCACTTTTTAAAACTTATTCACCATTTTCTTGATGTTTCTTGATTGAACCTTAAAGCCAGAGTATGAATGTTGGTACCATTACTGCAGGCCTGAATGATCTTTTTCCTCTCAACATTGCTCTGTTGGGAAGACAGTGGGACGGACTGAAAATGATTTTAACCTGCTCTCTTTCTAGCTGAATATCTCAAAGAGGTTTTCAGTGATTCTTAGAAATGGTAACACAGATGGCTAGATGTCTTATCTGAAAACCTGGAAAAAGGAATATCAATTAGTTTAGTGGGTTTTATTTTTTTTAGATATTAAACATTTGGTGGGGATGGACAATTATACTGTTACACGATTTGGACAATTTTGCTGTTACACCTGATATATATTTTCTCATGCAAGCTAAAATGCAGAAAAATGTTAAAATGAAGGTGGATGAATAAAAAAACACAACATAAGTATCGACATTGGAGAAACACAATACCATCGACCTCGAAGGCAATAGTTTATCTGTCTGACATTTGAGGTACTTGTCACAGAAAATGAAGGAAAAAAAAATCAACCACACCTAAAATAAATATAAAATAAATATAAAATATAATAATATTTTATATTTATTTTATTTTTCTTTACATTTAAATTTCTTTTCTTTCTTTATTTTTAAATTTTTACGCGTATACGAGTTTGTTTTAATCCGATAAAAACGACGACACAAACACCGATAAAAGAAGCTTAGGTCTATCGAAAAAGAGACATATTCAATGAACAATAATCATAAACATTGTGGAAGTCAATTCAAGTAACATCGGGATGCCATCGAGATCGTGAGGATTAATGTGTTGAATGGATAAACTAGTGAGCATGCGCACTCGTTCGCTTTGTACGTCTGCTTAGAATCTCAATGAATTTCGGTGCCCCGCATCTGTTGATCCTTAACATGAATTGTATTGAGAGTGCAATATACATGCTTCACTTCACATAACTTTTTCATGTCCGGATCATAAAATAGACTAGCTTTTTCGTTCTTTCTTTTATTCTTTTTTTCTTTCTATTCTTTTTTCTCTCTTTTTTCTTTGTTTTTATATCTTTTTTCTTTCTTTTTTCTTTCTTATTCCTATTTTTTAACTCTTTCTTTCTTTTTTCTATCTTTCTTCTTTACTTCTTTCTTTTTGTTCTATTTTTCTTTGATAATTTCTTTCTTTATCTATTTTTTCTATATTGTTTTTTTTCTTTATTCTATCTTTTTCCTATCTTTTTCTTCTTTCTTTCTTGCTTTCTTTCTTCCTTTACTTTTCTGTCTTTTTCTTTATTTCTTGTTTCTATCTTTTTCTTTTCTTTTTCTTTTTTCTTTCTTTACTTTTCTATCTTTTCCTTTATTTCTTGTTTCTTTTTCCTTTCTTTTTTTTTTATCTTTCTTTCTTTCTTTATTTTTCTATCTTTTTCTTTATTTCTTGCTTCTTTTTCCTTTCTTTTTCTTTCGTTCTTTCTTTCTTTAGTTTTCTATCTTTTTCTATCTTTTCCCTTCTTTTTTCTTTTTTCTTTCTTTTTTCTTTTTTCTTTCCTTCATTTTTTTGTCCCTTCCTTCTTTCTTTCTTTCTTTCTTTCTTTATTTTTCTATCTTTTTCTTTATTTCTTGCTTCTATCTTTTTCTTTTCTTTTTCTTTCGTTCTTTCTTTCTTTCTTTAATTTTCTATCTTTTTCTTTTTCTATCTTTTTCCTTTCTTTCTTCGTTTTACTTATCTTCTTTCTATCTTTCTTTACTTTTCTATTTTTTCTTTATTTTTCTTTCTTTTTTTCTTTCTTTCTTTTTCTATCTTTTTTTTATATTTATTTCTTTTTTCTTCCTTTTTTCTCTCTTTTTCTCTCATTCCATCTTTCTTTCCATTTTATTTCTTTTTCATACTTTCTTTCTTTCTTTCTTTCTTTCTTTTTTCTTTCTGGAACATCCATATAAATTTTTTAAAAACTTGTTGCAAAGGAAACCCGCTGTTTTTCTTTTAGATATCTTGTCAAATTTTTACCCTTTCTAGACGTAGCGGCAACATCTAGGCGGCCAAATAACGTAAGTTCGTTTGCAACCGAATATTTGCTCTATACTAGCAAACGCTGATTGCCACTCCTGCAAAAAAAGAAAAACAACATATGTCTGTCTATTGATTATACTATAAAGATGACCTATATCTACCTATGGACTCAGGTATAAACTGGACCAACATCTACGTATAGATTCAAGTTTACCTATTGCCTCAAGTATAAAGACAACGTATGTCTACCTGTAGTCTCGAGTATAAACACAAACTATCGAGTCAATTTTTTACTTATATATTCAAGTGTAAGAAAAATACACCAATAGGGTTTGATATATTGTTAATTACACTAACCAACTAAGCAATATACTGGTTTAATTGTGTTGTAGAGTAGTTTTCACAGTGGAAGCTTGTATTTCACTGAATCGGTCCTAAAAAAGTTTCGACGTACAAAACGTTAGGAACTTGTTATAATATTTAATGACGCAGCAATCTAGTTGTGGTGGCTGATACTTTAATGTCCGACATCGACTGACTGACCAACTCACTGAGCTACTCCGCGACTGCTACTACTATTACTTATAATAGGTGGAAGAGTCTATTAACAATAGAATAGGTGTGTTTCAGTATAACAAATTGGTCGTAGAAATTCTTTTAAAGAAAAAATTGCGCTCTTCAGCAAGGAATCGAGCCTACGTCTCTGACGAAGAGCACAATTTTTTCTTTACTATGTGTTATGGGGTCCACCCCTTTTTCATATAAGTGGACTCGACCAGTGTGTACTTGTACTGCTGCCGGTGAATACCCGGGAGAGTTACACTGATACAGTGAACAGTGAGAGAGTAAGAGTGTGAGGTAACCGCTTTGTAGGAGTCACTGTTGCGAGCAAGTGGACCCAGAAGGAAGTCATACTTCGATACTGAATTTCCCAGACTGTATATATATTCTTATTGCTACTAACCGCATTTCTGGATCTACTAACCGTATTACCAATTGTATTATTACGTCAATACATTTATTTGCTATATTTCATTCCTGCGTTTGTCATTCATTTTGAGACCGGATTTCATCCCGGAATCCATAACAAATTGGCGACAGCAAATTGGCGACAAAGATTCGAACTCACACGGGAAGAAAAAACAACAAAAAAAATTTTCCTCGTCGTCCACAAGAATAAGATTTCTCGAACAATCAGGCCGGTAGACGGAAATAAATTAATATACTGTTTAATATATAAACGGAGCGTCTACTCAAACACGAGTATCTATTAATAATAACGTATAAATTGGTAACAAATTTGTCGGATTAATAAAAACCGATAGCTTGTAGATAATGTATTAAAAATTCCATTTCTTCCTAGCTGATAGCCTAGAAGTGAGAGTCTCCGACTGATATCAGATCGGAGTTTCGATTCCAGCTTGAAGCAATCGTATGTCTATACAAATGTATTTGTGCGTAGTACAAATGTAATTTTCGCTAAACAAATTTAATTGTGGTTAGTGTAAATGTAATTGTCGGTAGTACAAATTTAATTGTGGGTAGTTGTCGATATTACAAACTTCATTGTTGTTCGGACAAATATAATTGTGGGCAGTAAAATCTTAATTGTCGTTAGTATAAATGTAATTGTGACAGGTACCAAACTAAATTGTGATTAGTACAAATTTAATAGCGGGTAATATAAACGTGACTGTGCTTAGTAAAAAATTAATTATGGATATTACAAATGTAATTACGGTTAGTAAAAACTTAATTATATATAGTACAAATGTAATTATGTCTAGTACAAATGTCTGAATCTATAAAAAAGGGGTTGCAGATTGGAAAATACGTCATCGCCTACAAGGACGCGGAGGCGCTTTTGGAATCTATCGAGATTGAAAAGTGACGACTGGTCAACTCCTGTCCAATATGACAGCAGTATTCCATTTTAAGCTTTTTGAATACAAGATGACATTTTTTTTTTCGAATATAAGATGGCGTAGCATTATAAGTACACATAGTTTATCGAATATAAGTTTGTTTATATATATATATATATATATATATATATATATATATATATATATATATAGTTCACTTTGTACAAGGCCTGAAGGCGACTCGACTTCGAGTGTTACAGAGTAAGAGGCACAGTTTTTGCGGATATGTGGGGAAGATAACAGTTAACCCTAGACTTGAAGAGATTAACATTTTACTGATCGGGGAAGCATCCTCTTGGGAGTCGGTTCTGCAGAGAAGTGGTTTGCGGATAGAAGCTGTTCGAGTGGAACTTACTTCTCACCGATTGAATACAGAGAAAATGGGGGTTGTTTGCTACTATGTGAGTGGCATGGGGGGGCTAGCCGCGAAGATTCTCATTGGCGGAACCCAAAGAATGTAGTTCGTCCGAGCACTTTCAAAATTTCATACAAAATATTTAGATTTCGACATTAAACAACCCATAGAGGTGTTGATATGCTGCCAAACAAAGTCATCTAATCAATAATAATAATATATATTTAAATCAAAATGACTAACTATACTTTGTATCTGTAATTGAAGGCATACAATTGTGTTCAATATATATTTAGTTGAAGCTATAAAAGTGTGTTCAAAATATTTAGATTTCAGCGTTAAATAACCCATAGAGGTTTTGATATGCCGCCAAACAAAATCAACCTACAATAAATACTTAAATCAAAATGACCAACAATACATTTTATCTGTAATTGAAGGCATACAATTGCGTTCAATATATATTTAGTTAAAGCCATAAAATTGTACTCAAAATATTTAGATTTTGGCATTAAATGACCCATAGAGATGTTGATATGCCGTTAAACAAAATCAACCAACCAACAATACATATTTAAATCAAAATGACCAAAAATACATTTTACCTGTAGTTGAAGGCATAGAATTGCGTTCAAAATATATTTAGTTGAAGCCATAAAATGGTGTCCAAAATATTTAGATTTCGGCATTAAATAACCCATAGAGGTGTTGATATGTCAATAAAATCAACCAACCATTTTGGGGGTTGGTTCCGCAGAGTAGTGGTTTGCGAATTGAATCTGTTCGAGTGGAACTTACCAATGGAATACAGAGAAAATGTGGGTTGTTTGCTACTATTTACCTTTTGTTCGCTAAAAGGCGAACATGAATGAAATAAGGGTGGTTCGTAACAATGGGTGTGGCATGGCGGGTCTTAACCGTGAGGGTTAGGACTGGTGGAACTAACGAAGCGAGAGGCTTGCGACGTCTCGTCTGTGAAAAAGGGGTTGCAGATTGGAAAATAAGTCATCGCCTACAAGGACGCGGAGATGCTTTTTGATTCTGTCGAGAGTGGAAAGTGAAGAGGCCGGAAACCTAGTCCTAAACAGGGAACTCCTGTTCAAAAGACCGGCGAGGAGGGTGAATAGCCTATCATGCAGTTCACTCGATCTTTTCAACAGGAATAGAAATTTATCCTTTGTTCGCTAAAAGGGGAACATGAAGGGAATAAGGGTGGTTCACTACAATGGGTGTGGCATGGCGGGTCTTAGGCGTGAGGGTTAGAACAGGTGAGACAAAGGTCGGTAGTTCGTCTGAACACTTGCCATGGAAATAGCGAAAGAGTAAGGAGAGGTTTGCGGCGTCTCGTCTGTGAGAAAGAGCTGAGGGTTAAATTCTACAAGTTTTTTTCCTCATTACGTGTCCAAAGAATTTTAGCTGTCTTTTCTTGATTAATAAGCAACAGGGAAGTCTTACAGAAAATAGCAACAAGAAGAACACTTCTCACTTCAGGAAAATTACGGCGACGGGCAGGTGACTTAATCCGAGATGCCATATTAGGACCAATAATATTGCAGATTCCTCTTTGGATTTTATGAAGAATCTCTAAATATATAGCAGGAGCACCGGACCATATGTGGCAGCAATATTCAAACCATGGATGAATGGTAGACTTATAAATATGTAAGATAGATTCTGGAGAGAAACATTGCAGATTCCTCTTTGGATTTTATCAAGAATCTCTAAATATATAGCAGGAGCACCAGACCATATGTGGCAGCAATATTCAAACCATGGATGAATGGTAGACTTATAAAATATGTAAGATAGATTCTGGAGAGAAACATTGCAGATTCCTCTTTGATTTTATCAAGAATCTGTAAATATATAAGGAGCACCGGACCATATGTGGCAGCAATATTCAAAGCATGGATGTATGGTAGACTTATAAATATGTAAGATAGATTCTGGAAAGAAACATTGCAGATTCCTCTTTGGATTTTACAAGAATTCTAAATATATAAAGCACCCCACCATATGGCAATATTCTAAGCATGGATGAATGGTAGACTTATAAATATGTAAGATAGATTCTGGAGAGAAACATTGCAGATTCCTCTTTGGATTTTATCAAGAATCTCTAAATATATAGCTGGAGCACCCGACCATATGTGGCAGCAATATTCTAAGCATGGATAAATGGCTTATAGATATGAAAAATGGGAACGTTCCGTCTCCCCATAAATTTACGTTTTGCGGTTTTGTTTGCATTTGGTGAACGGGAGCCAGGAATATGCCAACATATACACGGGTGTGTTGGCGTATGCACGGCAGTATGTGTCTGCGAAGTGAGAGAGGGAAGAGGTTGGGGGGAGAGAGGGGAGAACAAGAGAAAAGAGTGTGTGCAAATGTGATGTGTAAAATAAATTAAATCTTGATGTGAGAGAAATAGAGAAAGAGAGTGAGACTGGGAGAAATAAAGGAAGAGAGAAATAGAGGGAGAGAGAAGTAGAGGGAGAGAAAGAGAGGGAGAGAAAATAGGAGAGGGAGAGAGAGAACAGGGAGAGAGAAAGAGAGGGAGAGGGAAAAAGGAGGAGAGAGAAATAAAGGAAGAGAGAAATAGAGGGAGAGGGAAATAGAGGGAGAGAGAAATAGAGGGAGAGGGAAATGTGAGAAATGTGATAGAGAGTAGAGAGAGAGAGAAAAGGAAGAGAGAAATAGAGGGAGAGAGAAATAGAGGGAGAGGGAAATAGAGGGAGAGAGAAATAGAGGGAGAGAGAAATAAAGGAAGAGAGAAATAGAGGGAGAGAGAAATAGAGGGAGAGAGAAATAGAGGGAGAGAGAAATAGAGGGAGAGAGAAATAAAGGAAGAGAGAAATAGAGGGGAGAGAGAGAGGGAGAGAGAGAGAGAGAAAGAGAGAGAGAGAAATAGAGGGAGAGAGAAATAGAGGAAGAGAGAAATAGAGGGAGAGAAATAGAGGGAGAGAGAAATAGAGGGAGAGAGAAATAGAGGGAGAGGGGAAAAGGGAGGGAGTGAGAAATAGAGGGAGAGAGAAGAGGGAGAGGGGAGAGAGAGAGAGAGAAAGGAGAGAGAAATAGAGGGAGAGAGAAATAGAGGGAGAGAGAAGAAGAGAGGAGAGAGAAAAGAAGAGGAGAGAGTGGAGAGGGAGAGAGAAGGAAGAGGAGAAATAGAGGGAGAGAGAAAAGAGAGAGAGAGGGAGAGAGGGAGAGAGGGAGGAAGAGAGAAGAGAGGAGAGAGAAAAGAGGGAGAGAGAGAAATAGAGGGAGAGAGAAATAGAAGAGAAGAGGAAATAGAGGGAGAGAGAAAGAGGAGAGGAAAGAGAGGAGGAGAGAGAGGAGAAATAGAGGGAGAGAGAGGAAGAGAGAGAAATAGAGGGAGAGGGAAATAGAGGGAGAAGAGAGAGAAGAGAGGGAGAGAGAGGAAATAGAGGGAGAGAGAAATAGAGGGAGAGGGAGAGGAGGGAAAGGGAGAGAGAAAGAGAGGAGAGAGAGAGAGGGAGAGGGAGAAGAAATAGGAGAGGAGAGGGAGAGGGAGGGAAATAGAGGAGAGAGAGAGGAGAGAGAAATAGAGGGGAGAGGAAAGAGGAAGAGAGAAATAGAGGGGAGAGAGAGAGGAAGAGAGAGAAAGGAGAGGGGAGAGAGAAATAAAGGAAGAGAGGAGGAGAGAGGAGAAAGGAGAGGAGAGAAAGAAAGGAAGAGGAGAGGGAGAGAGGGAAATAGAGGGAGAGAGAAATAGAGGGAGAGAGGGAAGGGAGAGAAATAGAGGGAGAGAAAAGAGGGAAGAGAAATAGAGAGGGAGAGAAATAGAGGGGAGAGGAAGAGAGAGAAATAGAGGGAGAGAGAAAGAGAAAGGAAGAGGGGAGAGAGAAAGAGAGAGGAGAGGGAGATAGAGGGAGAGAGAGGAAAGAGGGAGGGGAAGAGAGAAATAGAGGGAGAGAAATAGAGGAAGAGAGAGGTAGAGGGAGGAGAGAGCTCATTTAGAGGGGAGAGGGGAGAGGGAGAGAGAAAGAATCGAGAGAGAAATAGAGGGAGAGGGAAATAGAGGGAGAGAGAAATAAAGGAAGAGAAATAGAGGGAGAGAGAAATAGAGGGAGAGAGGGAAAGAGAGGGAAGGGAGAGAGAGGAGAGAGAAATAGAGGGAGAGAGAAAAGAGGAGAGAAATTCCTGAGAGAGAGAAATAGAGGAGAAAGAGAGAGAGAAAAACAAAGAGAGAGAAGAGAAAGAGAGAGAATAGAGGGAGAGAAAGAGAGGAGAAAAAATGAACAGGAGAGAGACTTTGGGAAAGAGAGGAGAGAGAGAAATAGAGGGAGAGGGAAGGGAGAGAGAGAGAGAAAAAGGAAATAGAGGGAGAGAGAAGGAAAAGAAATATAGAGAGAGAGAAATAAAGGAAGAGAGCTAGAGGAGAGAGAGAAATGAAAATAGAGGGAGAGAGAAATAAAGGAAGAGAGAAATAGAGGGAGAGAGAAATAGAGGGAGAGGGAAATTCCTTGAGAAGAGGGAGAGAGAGAAGGAGGGAGGAAGGAAGGAAGAGAGAGAGAGGAAGAGAGAAAGAAGAAAGAAAGGAAATAGAGAGAAAAATAGAGGAGAGAGAGAAAGAGAGGAGAGAGAAATAAGGGAAGGGAAAATAGAGGGAGAGAAATAGAGGAGAGGGAAATAGAGGGAGAGGGAAATAGAGGGAGAGGTTGCGCAAATTTAAATCATGTAAAATAAATGAACTTCTGGCGTGAAGAGAAAGAGAAAGAAATGGAGTGCTGAAAAGAGTGAAAATGAAATCGTATAAAATAAATAAAATCCTGACGGAAGAGAAACAGAGAAAGAAAATGAGAGCGGGAAAGAGAGAGAGAGAGAAAAGGTGAGAGAAGAAGGAAAGATATAGAGAGAGGTGGAGCTCAAATGAAAATGTGTAAAATGAATTCCTGATGTGAGGGAGGGAGGGAAAGAGAGCGAAAAGAAGAAAGGAAGAAAAATTGAGAGTAAGAGAGAGGGGGGGTTCTCAAATGAAATCGTGTAAAATCAATGAAATCCTCATGTGAGGGCGAGAGGGAATGAGAGAGAAAAGAAGAGAGAGATAAAAAGTCAGAGTGAGAGAAAAAGACGTGAAATACAGAGAAGAGGTGCTCAAATGAAATCGTGTAAAATCAATGAAATCCTGTTGTGGGTGGGTGGCGTGTGTATGTGTATGTTATCTGTTTGTTCACATTGTTCAGTCTGTTCGTGGAAATCAGCGCGGGGGTAGGAAAAATATTTAACCGAATACCTGTGTTAGATAAAAAAAGCAAAAAAAAAAAAAAGGAATAAAGTCGATATTCAGCTTCGACCGGTTTATTTCAAGAGGGAGAGTCATATAAATGTTTTCTATTATTTAACGTAAAATAATGGAAAGACATGTTTAATTCATGTACGGCCAAAAATCTTTGGACCCCGGCAGCATCGTAGATTTTTATAAGATTGACGTTAAATAATTTAGCCGAAGGATTCAAAATGACTTCAAGCGAATGGATCTTTTTGGTCTTAAACAAGACGATGTTTCACCAGGTCCGTCAGACTGGCGCCATAAACTCACAAAAAAAACATTACCGTATATATTCGAATATCGTGCGACATTTGAAGACTCCATTTTGAAACTAATTTGACTACAGTAAATTGATATATAGTTTGGTCAACGGCGTTGCTAGGACCAGTAGTACATATACTAATTTTATATCTTGTGTATGACTCGACCCCCTTAAAATTAGCTTCAAAATTAGGTCTTCAAAAGTCGCATGATACACGAGTATATACGGTATCTATCTATCTATCTATCTATCTATCTATCTATCTATCTATCTATCTATCTCAGTTTCTTCATTATCTATTTACCTACAGTATGTACCCGCGTATCATGCGACTTTTGAAGAGATCATTTTGAAGCTAATTTTAAGGGGGACGAGTCTTCATTATCTATCTATCTATCTATCTATCTATCTATCTATCTATCTATCTATCTATCTATCAGTTATCATTATCTATCTATCTATCTATCTATCTATCTATCTATCTATCTATCACAGTCTGATCATTATCTATCTATCTATCACAGTCTGATCATTATCTATCTATCTATCTATCTATCTATCTATCTATCTATCACAGTCTGATCATTATCTATCTATCTATATATATATATATATATCTGTCTGTCTGTCTGTCTATCACAGTCTGTTCACATATCTATCTATCTATCTATCTATCTATCTATCTATATATATATATATATATATATATATATATATATATATATATATATATATATAGATAATATTAGTGGAAAATATACATACATATGAAAAAATATATAAAAAAAATTCCCATACATGTATATTTTCAGAAAAAATTTTTCCAAGAGGAAGAATCCAGGTAGAACTCAATGTCTAAGACAGAGTAAGGATATAATAAAAAGGCTTAAACACTAATATTCCATGGTCATAATTTATTCCATTGGAATCGTAAATACGATCCAAATCATCAGACCTACAAATTCAAAATGAAAACAGAAAAAAACAACTCCGGAAATCAAAACAGAATTTAGAGAAAGTGTAAGTATGAGGATGAGTGACAGAGAGAATTTTTGGAGATATGGGTGGGGTGGATTTAAAAAGAGGAGAGAAAGAAAGTCGACGGATGTCTAATACATAAAGATACATTTCGTGGTGACATATACACACCACAGACAATTCGGATAGGAAAGGAAAAAAAAAAAAAAAAAAAAAAAGGGAAAGGGTGGGGGAGAGGGATGGGACGAAGGAAAATAAAAATTGTGTTTACTTAAAATTTAAAATCAAATATAAATATATGAAGATGAATATAACGATTGTCTCATTTCGCAAGGACCAAATATTTCTATGTTCAAAAACACATACTAATACACACAAAAAAAAAAAAAAAAACATATACAAGTAGGTACATACACTTAGGCATCTACACACACACACACCCAGACATACGTGTACATGCACATACATACACACATACACACATATATATACATATACACACATATATACATATACATATATATATATATACACATATATATATATATACATATACATACACATACACAAACATACATACATATATATATATACAAAAACCTAAAAATATATTCACATATCCACACATACACATATTCATCTATATTCATATACACACACTTTTCACATACATATACACGCATACATATGCCCCATGTATACATTCATACATACATACATACTTATACATACACATACACATATATATACATATACATACATACACACATACATATATATATACCTATACATACATATATACATATACATATATATATATATATACACACATATACCCATACATCCACGCACATACACATACACACATACATATACACACATACATACATATATACACACATACATACATATACACACACATACACACATATACACATACATATACACATGCAAATACATACACACCCTTACATATGTATATATATACACATGCAAATACATACACACCCTTATACATGTATATATATACACATGCAAATACATACACACCCTTACACATGTATATATACACATACACACACATACACACACACATAAACATGTATACACATAAGTACACATACACACCTATACATATACATACATAACATAAACACCTCCATACGTATATATATACACTTACATACATACACACATATATACACATACATACATATACATACAAATATACACACATACACACACATACACATACTCATACATACATATAAATACACACAGAGATATACACATATGTACATATATATAAAAGTTAAAATCTAAATAAGTGACGATTCAAATATTTGCGTGTATGTAAAAAAAAAAAAAAAAAGATTTTTTATATATATATACATATATATATATATATATATATCTACATACACATACATGCACATACATACACATACATATACATACATATACATACATGCACACACATACACAAACATATATATATAAATACATAGCGCATCACATAAACGTGCACAAAGGTACATTTAGAGATAAACAAAATAGTCATACAATTAAAATGTCATGCCCGATGTTATAGGACCGAGATGGAGCCGACATAAGTGACAACATGTTACACAACGGTGTTCAAGTTTTGAAACCTTTCTTATGTCTACATTTAGAGAATACCTCATTATATATATATATATCATCTCTAAATATATAGCAGTAGCGCCAGGCCATATGTGGCAGCAATATTCAAAGCATGGACGAATGGTAGACTTATAAATATGCAAAATGGGAACGTTCCGTCTCCCTATAAATTTACGTTGATATGCCGCTAAACAAAATCAACCAACCAACAATACATATTTAAATCAAAATGACCAAAAATACATTTTATCTGTAGTTGATTATCTATCTATCTATCTATCTATCTATCTATCTATCTATCTATCTCAGTCTGTTCATTATCTATCTATCTATCTATCTATCTATCTATCTATCTATCTATCTGTGACAGTCTGTTCATTATCTATCTATCTAGCTAGCTAGCTTGCTATCTATCACAGTCTGTTCATTATCTATCTATCTATCGATCACAGTCTGTTCATTATCTATCTATCTACCGTATATATTCGCGCATCGTGCGACATTTGAAGACCCCATTTTGAAACTAATTTGACTACAGTAAATGCATATATAGTTTGGTCAACGCCGTGGCCATGATCAGAAGTACATGCGTTAATTTTATATCCCGTGAATAATGCGACCCCCTTAAAATTAGCTTCAAAATTAAATCTTCAAAAGTCGCCTGATACGAGTCTATCTATCTATCTATCTATCTATCTATCTATCTATCTATCTATCACAGCCTGTTTATTGTCTATCTGTCGCGTATCATGAAACCTTTGAAGACCTTATTTTCAAACTAATTTGACTACAGTAAATAGATATATAGTTTGGCCAACGTCATAATTATGGCCAGCAGTACATACGCTAATTTTATATCTCGTGTATTATGCGCCCCTCTTAAAATTAGCTTCAAAATTAGGTCCTCAAAAGTCGTATGATACTCGTTTATATACGGTTATACCAAATAAGAAAAACTACCTCAGTTGATGACTTCCAACAGTAGCAATAACTAAAATGGATAGCACCTGTAACTAGAAGTGGAAGATAATGACATGATCAGGATATTAGCTTTCTACAAAGGGTACGAAAAAGAATAATAACAACTAGAAAAGATTTTAAGAAAACGTTTTTTCTACATTTCAACTAATGTTAACGCTCATTCTTCATTCAATGAATGCTGAATGTTTCCTTATAAGGAAACGGTTATTTTCACTCTTAATTTCACGAGTAGCTTATCTAGGGCATGACAAATATGGCAAGCGCCTTGGCGGACAATTGGTGGTGAACGAGTGGCAAGACGTTAGTAAACACTGAACAAGGAATTTCTCATGTAATATTCATTAACTAGAAACATTTAGAAATTTTCCTATTTGAATTTTATCATGAATTTTAATTCTTCCGTTCCTGGTATGACGATAAACTACATCCGCGTCCTGGATAAATTACGTCCAACACTAAGGCCTCTGAGGTTTTGAGGACCGTGGAACCACCTCTTAACTGCTGATGTTCCCAGGTCCACCCTGACCGTAGCACCTGTTAGGGTCCCAGCTATGGGTAAATAGTTAAACCCCTAACTGGGGTCAAAACACCATGAAAGTGTAAAAATAGGTTTTAATACCAGAAAGTAATTGTAAAAAGACTATTACCAGCAATAATTTTTTGTAGATAAAAAATGTTACTAGTAATACATTTTAGGAAAAAAATATTACCAGCAATTAAAATGTTGTCGGCATTAAATAACCCATTGAGGTTGATATGCAGTAAAACAAAATAAACCAAACCAATCTAAACCAAAGAATACATATTCTATTCATACGAATCTATCCTAAAAATGTTGTCGGCATTAAATAACCAATTGAGGTTGATATGCCGTAAAACAAAATAAACCGAACCAGACCAGTTATTCAGTTAATTATTGAATAACCTCATGGCAAGTTCTACGACAATAAAATATCCGTAGAAATTCCTCTATCGCATCGTTAAATATTTGAGGTTAACAATAATAAAATTTTAGAATAACAACCTTAAATATGAATGCTGGTTATCATTTTAAGAAGTAGGTACAAATCATAAGATTTCAAAGCGCCAACTTTTTCCATTTCAGTGGAACAGACCTTAAACAAATTTTTATCGACTCTTCTGTCTTCCTCGTTTTATTTTTCTTTCATTTTCTCACTGAAACCAA